TGTATAAATTTAACACCTTTATATGTTAGATACGGCCTAGGCCCACCCAGTCATTACATGCACAGTATATACCACTACACTCTGTTCACTTGCTTGTTCTCCTGGGAAGATGTCAGGATCACATCCCAGTACTCTTACAGAGAAACAAGATTTCCCACCTGGGTTGGCTTGGGGCTTGGGGCTGGATTCTGATTTCACCCATGCTGATTTCACACCAATTGAAGTCCACTGGCTTCAACACAGTTACTCCTGATTTACTCCCTGGTGTAACTGGCATCAGAATTAAGCTGTTGTTCTCCCTCTTACACTGTTTACAAAGAAAGCCCAACTCCAAACTGTTCATCAGCTTCCAGTTTGCTCAGCAACCAGGCAGACGAGAACCTGATGGTGTTTAACACTGAAAAATGCAAGGTTCTCCACCTTGGGAGGAAAAACCTGCAGCATGCTTATAGGCTCGGCAGTGCTACACTGGCTAGTACTATGGAAGAAAGAGACTTGGGGGGTCATGACTGACCACAAGATGAACATGAGCCTTCAATGCGATGCTGCAGCTAGTAAAGCGACCAAAACACTGGCTTGCATCCATAGATATTTCTCAAGCAAATCCGGGGACGTCATTCTCCCCTTGTACTTGGCCTTGATGAGGCTGCAGCTGGAGTACTGTGTCCAGTTTTGGGCCCCACAATTCAAAAAGGATGTGGAGAAGCTTAAGAGAGTCCAGAGAAGAGACATGCACATGATCAGAGGTCAAGAAAACAGACCTTACGATGACAGGCTGAGAGCCCTGGGGCTCTTTAGCCTGGAAAAGCGCAGGCTCAGGGGCGATCTGGTGGCCACCTATAAGTTTATCAGGGGTGACCACCAGTATCTGGGGGAATGTTTGTTCACCAGAGCGCCCCAAGGGATGACAAGGTCGAATGGTCACAAACTAGTACAAGATCATTTCAGGCTGGACATAAGGAAGAATTTCTTTACTGTCCAAGCCACCAAGGTCTGCAATAGCCTGCCATTGGAGGTGGCTCAAGCACCTACATTGAACACCTTCAAGAAAAAATTGGATGCTTATCTTGCTGGGATCCTATGACCCCTGCTGACTTCCTGCCCCTGGGGCAGGGGGCTGGACTCGATGATCTTCCAAGGTCCCTTCCAGCCCTAATGTCTATGAAATCTATGAATCCCTTTCTCATGCAGACCCAAAAACTACTCAGGATTAATTATAATGGGGACCTTATAAGAATCTAGCCCTGAGCCAGGGCTGGCTCTGGTGCTTGGGCACTGGATTGCCCTTGTATAACATACACAATGCAAAAAGCTCTTTACACTCCCCTTTCTTTTAAATAAAGGAATCCTGACCCTCATATCACTATGTGTTGTTGGCTAGGGGCGTCTTCGGAGCTGACACTGTTCACTTTGCCCTGTTTTATCTTTTTTTTTCTGTCCTGATGAGGGGACACATAAGGATTAGGATGAGGTTTGTTAAACTTGTATCCGTGGTTGAGTCCGGTCATCGCCTAAACTTTGGCCTAGCAGCTAGCTCCCTTTCCCACAAAGATACTCAGTCACCACCCTCTCCATCACATCAGTTATGGGGAAGGAAGGAGCCTACTGTATTGAACCAATGACTGTGTTAATGCAAAGCACTTCCTCTGACTCTGGGTACAGGTGCCTCCTTGTTCAAACTAAGCATGGGTGCTCTCTAGAATGCTTTCTCTCTGGCTGAGTAATTATAGCATAAGGGAGAGGGAGCAGATGCATAGTGGTTCTGCTCATCCTAATCCATGGATGCGCCTCGCCAACTGCGGCTCGTGAACACAGAACTTCCTTGTACTCTGTTCTCTATGTTGCACAATGAAGTTCCCTTGTAGATGATACGTTGCTACATAAAGACTATAAGGGAGGGAGTGGGGAACAAACACAGTCCTTTCACTCCATTTAATCCTGCTTCTTCTGACATGGACAGCTAGTATAACACAGCAGAGAGAGGCAGTTTGAGGAAAACTCAGCCGCACACAGCAGATCAACACAAGAGGAAATGTTTTCTTTTGGAGCCGATGGAATTAAGAACTCATCTTCCCTTTTCTCCCCAGGCTCCTTGCTCTTCTGCTCATGAACCACCAGGGATAAAGCAATCAATGGAAGGAAACCACATTTCCAGCTTGCCTTGGTTTTCACCCCTGTGCCAGCCAGTTTAGGCAGGCTGAACTGCTCTTTTTGGAGAGAAATGCAACTAGCAAGATATGGAAACTCTCCATGACCGGAGCAGCTGGTGAGCCCCACTCTCACCTTTGTTGCATGGCTCCTAAGAAAATTATCTGCTACAAAATGGCTTGAAAGACTGAGGGTTCCCAAGGCACCTACCTGCAATACTGCAGCATTGCTATGCCAAAACATTTGAAAATCAAGGTAAGCTATAGTCACCATAAGATGTTATGATGTTATACAGATCAATATATATCAGATCTTTCTTTTATTGCCTTCTTTTTTTCTGGAGCCCTTTGGGTATCGCATTGCTTTTCTCTTTAACCAGGATGCCCAAAATCTACTTTAACAACAAACTGAGTCATGTAATTGCAAGTCTCCAATTGCATTAGGAGAAAAGGAAATATTGCAACAGTGGTAACATGCTCAGTCTATTCCCAAAGATAATGAGGCGCTTCACAAAAAGGCAAGTATGACTGTCCATTGGGGAAACCGATGAAGAAGGGTAGAAAGACTTACTCAACCCCACATAGGATCCGTAGCAGATTCTCTTGGCTTGTAAAGTTATTGGTAATTAATGGAGGTGTGGAAAGTCTTGCTAGGATAAATGCCTTTGGCTGAGAATCCCCAATGATGCAGTCTGAGCCTGAGCTCTTATTGCCTTGGGAAATTTGTTTACTGAAGGATCCATCTTACACCCAGTCTCCTAAAAGCATTAAAATGTATCTTGCACCAAACACCGTGCCCTTGCCTGCAATCAGCAGGACTCCTGACCTGAGGATAAGCTTCCATGGTGACGCTACGGATGGGCTGGAAGGATCTAGTCGCTTTTAAGCAATGCTTTCCTAGGTTGTGTCCAGGTGGAAGCAGAGATCAAGACCCAAGAGCAAAGTTGGTTGTGTGCTGCATGGGGTAGAGATCTTGGCTCTGCTGACAGCATCTCTTTCATGTTTCCTGACTCACTGTGCCCTACACAGGGACTGGGTGTGTGACAAAACTGGAAGGTTGAGCTAATTTGTCATCTTGAGTGCACACTGGGCAATGCTTGTAAGCGGCCCAGGCAAGCAGAAGTGTTACTGTCATTATAGATGGTTTTGGCCCAAAATATATTTAGTCATGCCACACATCCATTCTCTGTTACACTCTCTAATTCATTTCTCTCTGTTGCAATAAAATATTTTTTGTCCCTAACTATCATTCACAGGCTGCTTGGGTTAGCATTGGAGCACTGGTTGAAGAGACTTACAGTCTGTGGGGCCCATAGATCTGTGTTAAAATGATGAAAGTAGCTGCAATAAGATCCTGTCTGCACAAAACTGAAGAGCACCTGCCAGTCCCCATGATAATCCTCCTGACAATCCCTAGCATGCGTTGGACAGAGTGACAGGCAGGGAAGGCAGAGGCGCAGCTCCTCTTCACTGCAGCTCACAGAGGCAGTGCCAACCACATGTGCATTTTGGTGATGAAAGTTGACAGGAGGGACTTGCTGACGAGAAACAGGAATAGCAAACATCCAGCCCCATTTGCATCAATGTGGCTCTCATATCTCATGACCCTTCAAGAGCTCATGCAATGCAAACAAGGCACTGGGAGCATTTCTAGGAGTTAGAGAGAGAGTTTTGACTATATCCCCATTAGAAAATGAGTTGGATCCATCCTGATGGAGTTCCACTTACCTCCATTGACTTACACCTGGGGCCAACTGGCTTTTTACCTTTTTTACTACTTTTGTCCATTCCCAATTTATCCCCAGACCCTTCTGAACAAACCCCATCCTCATCCCTAGGGACTGTGACTCAGAACTCCACTAAACATCATTACTGGCCTTAAGACTGAAGCCCTTTACATATATTGTCTTTGTTTTCCTATGGATGCTTAAGCACAACAAAGCCACAGTCCTCTTGGGTGAAATCCTGGCCCTAGTCAATCAGAGTTTTTCCACTGACTTAAAATCCATGTTTCTAATGTAGCTGATGTTTTAACACTGCTTCCTTTTACTTTATTCCCTTGATACTCTGTTACCTCCCCCCCCCACCCCCGCCAACCAAACAATCCTGATGGCAGACCACTGAGAAAGTTTCTTAAGGGAAACACCATTTTAGGTGGCTTTTAATCTCTCAACATCTTCTTGCAAAGTGGACAGGGAA